TTCTCTGTGCTAAGGATTCCATGGTCTATTTTCTTCTTTATGCATCATTCATCCAGCCTGCTGTTGATCACAGATTACCAGAATAAGGATTGCTTGAACTTGATCCTAGCACAAGCCACGCAACCAGGAGAATTTTTAGAAAAAGATCTTATATCATCTTTGAGTAAAGATGTCTTATATCTTTAATTTTAGAGGACTTCATGGAGATGGCCCAAGTCTATGTGTAGGAAAAAATGAATTTAGAGATGAAGAAAAAACTTCTTCCAGTGCGCTCCATAATGCCATTAGGGTCACGATGTTTGAAATGTATCTGTTTTCTATTTGAATTAAAAATCGAATGGACCAGCCCCATGCCTTGCAGTTAGGGGAGCTGGATCCCCAGCTGGACCTGACTGCAGTTTAGGTCATAGCCCCAGTGCTTGAAAAACACACTGGGCACATGTGTTTGCATGCCCCAAATCCCAGTGGGATGGAGAGAAATGGAGGAGAAGGGATTGTGGCATGACCATACCCACTGGAGAGTGCTTTCTCCTCTTCTCTCTCCCTGTGTCTCTTGGGCAAACACATGTGCCCTGAGGCAATGAAAAAAAATTGAAACCTCATCTTTAAAATGCCATCTAAAGAGGGCCTTCTCAATAACTATCACTCATGACCTCTTAACTGTTAGCATAATTTATCAGATTATGAAATGTCACTCAGCAGGTCTCCAAAGGAACGGTGCCTTGGGCAGATACATTTAGGTGAAGAAGAGAGGAAAAAGCAAAAATAGTCTAGAAGGGGGAACAAGTGTGATAATTTAATCATTCATTGAGGAAGTGTTTGTTGGATACTGCATTAGGTGCTGGGCAAGCAGCCAGGAAAAGGCTACAGTCTTCATTCCCTGACTAGTGGGCTCATTAGAAATTAATTGCATAATCCACAATAACAAATGTAAAATTGAAGCAGGGCCTTTGGACCAAGTAGGAGAAAAGAGAAGGACTGGAGAGGTGCTGAAAATAAACCTTTAGAAGAGAAACTAGTGATAGGTATTTCTGGCCACCTGCAAGGGTGCAATCTGATGTTTATACTTTAGTTACATGAAGTTTGTTAATTTCAGCAATGACAGGGATTACAAGATTTGCAAACAGTTCAGTCAAGCTCTGACTTAAATAGTTGTAATGCTATTAAGATCCCTGGACCCCGTGTCAGTGTCTCCTGCTGTTTAGAAAACAACATCAAAGTGCCCTTCCCTGGCTCTCTTAACAGTAAACTGAACCAAGGTTTGTTTGCATTTACTAAGCTGCTTTGGTGTTTCATAAAATCACTCAACCAAAGGGATGAAATGCAAGGTTATTGCACTTCAGCATTGTTCTAAGGCTGCGGGAGTAAAAGTGGCCTAGGGCCAGCTGCTCCCTGGGTCTTCTCCCTGGTGATTAAGGAGGATTAGTGGAATGTGTATAAAATGAGCCTCCAGTTTCATTTGCAGAAATAAAACCCTCTCAGACCCAAAGCTCCATGAGGCCCTCGCATCCTGTCCCAGTTGACTCTGTACTTGTCTAGGGATTTGAGAAGGTGGAGTCTGCATTCTTTAAGTGATATTGAGGGGGAACAATAATCTGATTAAAAGAAAAAGCCAGGTCTTTAGAGGTAAGCCTGTGTGCAATAGGAATGGCTTCCCTTTCATGGTCTTCTCCAGATAGAAGAGGCAATAGAGCCATCCAGCTTCTGGGCTCCTGAATCAGACAAGGGACATGCAGGCTCCCAACTTCACACATAGGTTGGCTTCAGAATATGGTTTTTTTTTTTTTTTTTTTTTTTTTTTTTTTTTTTTTTTTTTTTTTTTTTTTTTGGGAATTTGGACCACAGTGTCTCACAGAAGCAATGCCATATGTGATTATTATAAATCTAGGAAAGTCTAGAAGTAGATTTGGTTCATAACGTAGACACTGATTCCAGCTACGTAATGCAAGTAAAATAGAATCAATCAATTTAGTATCACTATTTATAATATGTGTTATTTCTATAGGAGAGAGAAAAGTACGTTCTAACTTGATGCTTAAGACACTGGCATCCTCCCTCTCCCCACTGTCTTCTCCATCCTAGTCACCAGGTGGGGTGATCCTCCTACCTCACCTCCTCAGAGACTGGTTCTTTGAGTGGCATAGCTTTTTGCCCTTACCCAGAGGCCTTTAGTCACCAGAGAGAGGATACCGTGGTGGTTGGGGGGATTTTCCTGGTCTTCAGGGTGACAAAGGAATAGATTTGTTCTTTCTTGCTCTAGAAAGCAGAACTTGGACTCACAAGTAAGCTTGTAAGAAGCAGCTTTCAGATCAGTCCAAGGAAGAACTTTCTCCTTGAGGGAGGAACCATGTCTCAGTTCCCAAAGGCAGCCCCATGTCTTCCACAGTAAGATACCCATACACACTCACTGGAATCCACTACAGCTGCTTGTTGGGAACAAGCTTGCTTGCCACAACTGGATGTGCCCCTCATTTGACATCTTCAGCAGAGTTTTGGTAGCCAGCCAACCATGAGGATCTCTGAGGAGGGGATTACTCCTTTGGGAGGGCAGTCAGCTAGAAAATAATAATGTTCATTGTCCATTATGAGCCAAGCATGGGGGTATTGCTTCAGATATGCTATTTTCAAGCCTCAGAGAGACTGTTAGATGTGGTCCTCTCTTGTGGTATAGACGGGGAAACTAAGGCTGAATAACATTCCTAAGATTAGCTAGCCAGTATATTCCTGAGCCAAGACTCCAACTCAGGTCTGCCTGATTCCAAAGTCTATTGTTTTATATTCTTACACATAGTCATTTATTCCTGTTTAAAGTCGAAAACAGTACAAGTTAACTATACGTCAGAGCCACCCACATTGAAGACACTTTTCTCTTGAAATTGAATGCGAACAGCCCGCATGTTTTATATTTCAGTACTGCAAACATATGTTAAAAATATTAAGGGACCATGGCCTGAATGTATGTGTGTCGTGTATGAGCATATTGGAGATTGGGGTATGTAGGTGGATGGGAGAGGAAGGTAAGAAAAGGATCTCATTGCAGGGCTGTTGGCACCTCAGAAAAAAGAGCGTTTCACCCTCAGAGACTCACCATCTTTATCCCTTACTGATGGCCCAGCCAAGCCCTCAGAAGATGACAGGGGATTCAGACAGACACCAGACTGTCTACTGAGCAGTTTAAAATAGAAAATAGAAAGACTTTTGGATGTATTAAATTTTAGGCATGTTAAAATATTCAGCTCTTCCTTTTCTCAGAGTCTTTAGTTCTCCCACTACTTTTGCATTTTGAATCACTATGTTTCTTTCTGTTCTGGTTGGAAAATTCATGATTCCCCATTTGGATTTTCTTTCTTTTTTCCTTTTTTTTTTTTTTCCTAAGAATTATTCCATTAATTCTGTTTTTTATTATTATTACTTTTTTTTTTTTTTTTGGAGAGGTTTTTGCCATAGGGCGTGTGTACTCGCCAGACAGACAGAGAGAGACAAAGAGATAGAAAGTGAGAAATCACCCCCCAGGGGGTATGGCCACGCCACAATCCCTTCTTCTCTATTCTCCTCTCGGGATCTTGGGCACGCATGCACATGCACCCGGCGTGAGTTTTAAGCCACCGGGTCCAGGACGTGAACTGCGGTCGACTACATGGGAGTCAAGTGACATAGCCATTATGCTAACTGCTGGTCCCCTGTTTTTTATTATTATTACTTTTTAATTTGACAAGAGAGAGAGAAAGAGAAAGCAAGAAAGCAAGCTTCCAGGTCCAGGATTTGAATTGCAGCTGGCCATGTGGGAATCCAGTGCCCTTAACCACCATGCCACCTGCTGCCCCCCCATTTTAATTTTCATCTTTAAATATTCTCTTAGACTAGATTAAATAAGAAAATTCAGAGATCACTTTAATATTTTTAAAATTATGGATACCTGCATGATTTCTTTTTTTGTAAATTATTTAATTTTATTTATTATTGTTTTTTTAATTTGACCAAAGAGACAGAGAGAGGAAAGAGAGAAAGCAAGCTGCCCCCATGTCCAGGACTTGAACCACGGTCAGCACCTTAACCACCACACAATTTGCTAGCCCCCCTGCATGATTTCATACCCATTGATCCTTTTCAGCAAGGCATTAGAGTGCAGGGGGGTAAGCATGGTGGTGTAGCTATAAAATGCAATGCTCCACAAGGCTGGCTTACATGTGAAGGCTCTGGGTTTGTGTCTAGATATTACCCTGAGTATGCCAGGCATGCCTGTCCCATGATTGGGAGCTGGCTGAGGCTAGGGGTGAATCGCAACCAGAGTACTCTATTGGGAATGCTGTCTCTGTCTCTATCTCATTTATTCATGGAAGAAAAAAAAACTTTAAAAATAAAAGCACCTTGAGACCAGCAGTTAGCGTGATGGCTGTGTCACTGGACTCCCACATAGTCGACCGCGGTTCGAGTCCCGGGCCCGGTGGCTTAAACTCACACTGGGCACATGTGTGTGTGTGCCCAAGATCCCAAGAGGAGAATGGAGGAGAAGGGATTCCGGTGTGACCATCCCCCCTGGGGGGTGATTTCTCGTTTTCTGTCTCCCTGTCTCTCTCTGTCTGTCTGGTGAGTGCATGTGCCCTATAGCAAAAATCTCTCCAAAATAAATAGATAAATAAATAAAAGCACCAAACATGATGCTAAATCCTTTTGTATTTCCACCAGAGAGCAACCCATCTCTTGGCTAGCAGTCATCCCCGCCTGTCTCACCTGGTCAGGATGAGCAGGACATAGTACCCTCTTCCCTGAGGGAAGCTATCAAAGCCGGCCTTCCAGTCCACTCACCTCCCATTGAGGTTTGCCCCAGAGTGACGTGGCGGTTCCCAGGCATGACCTGGAAGCATGACAGTCTGGATGGAAATGAGAGTTACAGTTACAGAATGAGGGAGGCATCCCTTGCCCCCCAGGCAGCTCAGTTGGTCTGTAGCCTCTTGGCCCAAGGAAGGGAAGAGCTGACTCTCTCATGCTGTTGTTTGCAGCCTCCTGCTTGGTGGACTTGGAGAGGCCTTGCTGGTTTTCTCAGAGCAGAAGGGCTCATGAAGAATATGTGTCGAAAAAGGAGACTCACAGGCTGCCAGCTGGAGGGCACAGCCTCTGGCCTCATGGCTCCCTGCCGAGCATCTCAGAAAAGAATACAAGGAGAGCGAGACCACGCCCGGATCCCAGGTGGGCAGAGCCCGTGACTTACTTGCACCCAGACCGAGTTGACTGTGGTGGTGGGCAATGGCGCAAAGGTCCTGCTGCTTCCAGTTGTGTGAAGGAGAACTTTCTGGGGCCCCGGCTTCTGCACAGGAATGTTTCAAGTTAGGTCTTTCCACCCGGAGGACCTCTCTCTGCCACATGGCACCCAGTTCTGCAGAAACAAGAAATAAAATATCTCACCGGATGGCTCTGCTCATCTCAGTTGACAGTAGGCCTCTATATACTGACACTCCCCCTCCAGTGCTTTCAGTGTGAGATAGGGGTCCAGAAGTTCTATGGTATTTTTTGTCCTCCTTTTGTTTTTACATTCTTGGAGTTCCCTCTAGGTCCATCCTTTCCTTGCTTCTTGCTGGCCTGCCTAGAACCCACACCCATCCGTATGAGCTCAGAGAAAGCTGCTCCTTAGGGCTTCACTGGGGGCAGGGGCAGAGATGGGGGTGAATGGGTTCTGGGCCAAGTAAGAAGCCAGCGAGGACATTTTAAACTCTGGCATGAGTGACAGCCTTTCTGTGGTTAGTGTTGCCATTTATTTCCTGCTTCTAAACTTCCCATGGCTCTCATAAACTTGTCAGGATATGTGTTGTGTTGGATTCTGCATGCTCTTTTTGACCCACGTTAGGTTAAGTCAATACTTCATGATCACCAAGGGGATTAGGGCTTATAGGCAATCCTGGGTGTCCTCCCTGGGCAGGTGAAAAACAAACAAACAATGTATAACACACACACACACACACACACACACACACACCTATTTTTATATTTATATTCCTTCAAACTTAAACTTTTAATCCATTTGAATTCCTAATATCTCAGAGGAGGTTTCAAATGATTTCAAATTCTTCAAAACATTGAAGAGTGTTTTTCAGGCTGGATTAAAAATTAGGTTGGTATTCAATTAATACCTTGCCCCCGTTGGAGTCAGAAGAAATAAATTTACATGAAATAGTCATTTGATTTTGAACCTACCAAGAAAGTTTAAGAAAATAGTGACTAACTTTATTTCTGCTCATCACAGATTTTTCAATGACCATTTTGGGAGTACCTTTCTTTCTTTCTTCTGGAAGATATAAATAAATAAGCATATAAAAATACTAGTGGAGGGAAGGGGCAGCAGGTGGCATGTTGGTTAAGGCAGCTGAATCCCACAGGGCCCGCTCTATGGTTTGAATCCTGGACCCAACAGCTTGAAAACCACACTGGGTATGTGTACATGCATACCCAAAAATTCCCAAGAAGAAAATGGAAGAGAAGAGGTTGTGGTGTCGACATTCTTCCTGGGGTCTGATTTCTCACATTGTCTGTCTCTCCTCTGTCTCACTCTGGCAAGCACATGCACCCTATAGCAAAAACCTAAAAAAAAAAATACACACACACATATATATGTATGTACATATATGTACACACACATATATGTATGTATGTACATACATGTGTGTGTGTGTGTTTGTGTATTAGCAGGACATTTTTTTTGGAGAGGTTTTTTGCTATAGGGCGCGTGCGCTAGCCAGCCAGACAGAGACAGAGAGACAGAAAGCGAGAAATCACCCCCCAGGGGGGATGGCCACACCGCAGTCCCTTCTCCTCCATTCTCCTCTCGGGCTCTTGGGCACACATGCACATGCGCCCGGCGTGAAGTGTTAAGCCACCGGACCCGGGACTCGAACCGCGGTCAACTACATGGGAGTCCACCGACATAGTCATTACGCCAACTGCTGGTCCCAGCAGGACATAATTTGGTATTAAGTGGTTAGTAATGCTTGAGTCTTGACATCTTTATTGAGCAGTTGCCTCTAACAGATTTTGGAGAGTTTCCCTCATTTCCAGGTGTCCAGAGAATCTTCCCTGGGCAGGTAGCAGACCCTGTAGTATTGGATACCCACATCATTGGTGGAAACCCCCATCAGCATTGGGACATTTTCCATGTTGATTCTCAGTCCTGAAAAGAATAAAGCTGGCCTGGCCAATGGCCATTCTTTCTGCATGTCTCTCCAACTTGTTGAAAAAGAAGAAAATGAAACAAATAGGAATGGATTAGTAGATTAGGAACTTAAGTGCTTTAATTCATTTCCTTGTCTTTTCCTGGTCTCTGGTTTTCATTTAAGGTAAAAATGTTCAGAGGTGGTACCAGCAGATGGTATAATGGTTACGTTGCTTGACTCCCATGTAGTAGACTGCAGTTCAAATCCCAGGTGCGGTGGCTTAAAACTCACACCAGGCATTTGTGCATGCATGCCCAAAATCCTGAGAGGAGAATGGAAGAGAAAGGACTGTGGCATGACCGTCACTCCTCTGGGGCAATTCCTCACTTTCTACCTCTGTCTGTTTCTCCGGTGAACACATGTACCCTATAGCAAAAAATCTCTCTCTTAAAAAAAAATGTTCAGCGGGGCCTTTACATGTATATAGCTTTCAACTTGTGTTCTTCATCTAGAATGTCAAACTTTCTAGAGACTGAGGATGAGATTTAAAAATCTGGGCACAGTGGTACATGGTTTGTAATCCCACCTACTCAGAAGACTAAGGTGGGATGGTTGCAAGTTAGAGAGAGGCTAACTTGAACAATGTAGTAGTGAGACCCTGTCTCTAAAAAAAATTAAAGTAAAGGAGGAAAAAAAAACTCTGAGAAGAATTCTTTTTTTTTTTTTTTTTTTTGCTCCCATAAGCTCTATACAACTGAGACTACTTTTTTCCATTTGTAGAAAGTGGCATCTGTCCAAATGTCACCTTATGCCTGTCTTTCTAAGTGCCATTTAAGCAAATGGACATTGCTTAAGGCCAGAAAAAACCAGTGCATTTACCAATCTCACTCCCAACCCCACCCCTACCCACAGTCCAGCAGGACGGTAAAAACTTTTGCTGAAGTTTTAGACCCTTTTTCTAAGGATCTCTAGTAAGGGTGTTGGAGATTTTTTTGGTTTTGGTTTTGGTTTTGATCACATTCTCAGATCTTTTCTTGCACTGAGACCAGCAAGAAGCAGCAGGTAAGGTGTTTCTTCAGCAGCCATCCTGTTTCTTTAGGTCGCTGTCTGTTTTCTGGACTGTTTTCCTCAAGCGTCAGCTGCCATCTTTTTATTTATTTATTTATTTGGAGAGGTTTTTGCTATAGGGCATGCGCGTTTGCCAGAAAGACAGAGAGAGAGAAAGCAAGAAATCACCCCCCTTTGGGAATAGCCACGCTGCAATCTCTTCTCCATTCTCCCCTCGGGATCTTGGGCGCACACGCACCCAGCATGAGTTTAAGCCACCGGGTTTGGGACTCAAACTGCAGTCAACTACAGGGAGTCCAGCGACATAGCCATTACGCCAACTGCTGGTCCCATCAGCCGCCATCTTTAATGCTCAGTCTCTGCTCAGTTCAGAAGTGGTCAGAAGTCTGAAAAAAGGGGCTGCTGCCCAGGTCTCTGCAGACCCTCCAGCCCTCATTTGCAGTGTCTCCCTAGGCCCAGGACCCCCAGCAAGGACTCTCCAGGTAACTAACACTCCTTTTACTGTCATACCTAGCCTGGGTACTGATTATCTTAGGCCTTTCTGGCCCCTGGTCAGAGCCAAGGTGTTTGGCATTTTTATTTGTACAATACAAAATATACTTTCTGTCAAAAAAGGCAAGGTGGGTCTCAGGTGGTGTGGAGGTTAAAGTGGCTGGACCCCACATGGCTGACTACATGGTTTGAATTCCAGACTCGATGGCTTAAAAATATGCAGGGCACATGTGTGCATCCCCAAAATCCTGAGTGGAGAATAGAGGAGAAGGGATTGTGGTATGGCCATCGCCTCAGTGGGTGATTCCTCAGTTTCCCTCTCTGCAGGTCTCTCTCCTACAAGTGCATGTGCCCTATAGCAAACTAAAAAATATATTTATTAGTTACATATATTAATAAATATATAAATCAAATTTTTGAAAGACAAGGTTTTGTATATTTTTGAAAGACAAGGTTTTGTATGATTTTTTTTTTGAGAGGTTTTTGATATAGGGTGTATACACTCGCCAGAGGACCTCTCTCTGCCACATGGCACCCAGTTCTGCAGAAACAAGAAATAAAATATCTCACCGGATGGCTCTGCTCATCTCAGTTGACAGTAGGCCTCTATATACTGACACTCCCCCTCCAGTGCTTTCAGTGTGAGATAGGGGTCCAGAAGTTCTATGGTATTTTTTGTCCTCCTTTTGTTTTTACATTCTTGGAGTTCCCTCTAGGTCCATCCTTTCCTTGCTTCTTGCTGGCCTGCCTAGAACCCACACCCATCCGTATGAGCTCAGAGAAAGCTGCTCCTTAGGGCTTCACTGGGGGCAGGGGCAGAGATGGGGGTGAATGGGTTCTGGGCCAAGTAAGAAGCCAGCGAGGACATTTTAAACTCTGGCATGAGTGACAGCCTTTCTGTGGTTAGTGTTGCCATTTATTTCCTGCTTCTAAACTTCCCATGGCTCTCATAAACTTGTCAGGATATGTGTTGTGTTGGATTCTGCATGCTCTTTTTGACCCACGTTAGGTTAAGTCAATACTTCATGATCACCAAGGGGATTAGGGCTTATAGGCAATCCTGGGTGTCCTCCCTGGGCAGGTGAAAAACAAACAAACAATGTATAACACACACACACACACACACACACACACACACACACACACCTATTTTTATATTTATATTCCTTCAAACTTAAACTTTTAATCCATTTGAATTCCTAATATCTCAGAGGAGGTTTCAAATGATTTCAAATTCTTCAAAACATTGAAGAGTGTTTTTCAGGCTGGATTAAAAATTAGGTTGGTATTCAATTAATACCTTGCCCCCGTTGGAGTCAGAAGAAATAAATTTACATGAAATAGTCATTTGATTTTGAACCTACCAAGAAAGTTTAAGAAAATAGTGACTAACTTTATTTCTGCTCATCACAGATTTTTCAATGACCATTTTGGGAGTACCTTTCTTTCTTTCTTCTGGAAGATATAAATAAATAAGCATATAAAAATACTAGTGGAGGGAAGGGGCAGCAGGTGGCATGTTGGTTAAGGCAGCTGAATCCCACAGGGCCCGCTCTATGGTTTGAATCCTGGACCCAACAGCTTGAAAACCACACTGGGTATGTGTACATGCATACCCAAAAATTCCCAAGAAGAAAATGGAAGAGAAGAGGTTGTGGTGTCGACATTCTTCCTGGGGTCTGATTTCTCACATTGTCTGTCTCTC